TCAAAAAACTTCTGACCATTCACTTTCAATATTCTTTCCCTGAAAACACACAATCTCAACTCTGCTGAAGGATTGACTGTGAACAGCTACCTTTGCTCTTATCCTACATGAGGGAGAGTCATGTTATTATTTGAGGATTATTTGGCTCTTTGTCTGAGTCAGGTATGGTAAAGTGTTGTTTATAGTTTGGATATCATCATTTCATATCACAACACACATTTATTTACCTTTCTTGTAGTAATTGAATGGCAACAAATGAACACAGGTATCCACCCAAGACTGCAGAAGAAATATTGTTTTGCTTGTGCTAAAAGTAGTTTTGTATTTCCTAGGGTTGTGAATCAGCATTCTGCTTTTTGCCATGTTTTGGGAATTTTAAGGAGCCATTAGACAAATTGGTAGAATTAATTAGATGCATGTTGTTCTTGTTACAGAAACCCCAGAGACATTTTGAATAATATTCTACAATGTTGTATCTTTACCCTGCAAGGTTCAGCAATTTGCTAGAACAGAGCGAACTTGGACAGCTATTTTCTCCAGGATTTGACAAAAATCCTAGAGAACAAAATGTTCCAGTAATCATCTTTTCTTTTTAAGTATCTGCTAGTTTTTAATTCTTTTCTGCCTTTCATTTTGCAGAAGCAGCGTGTATTGGTTGAAAACAAAACCAAACCAAAAAAACAGAAAAAAACCCAAACAAAACAAAACAAAACAAAAACAAACAAAAAAAAGAAAAAGAAAACCAACATACCACCATTGTTCCTGCCTGTATCTTTCAAGTCACTTCTGTGCTGAATCACAGTGTTCCATTACAACCATTTTTATGGTGTAATTGTTTTGTATAATCCATTTTCTTTGGACACCTTTTAGCTTCTGTCTGAAGCTGTTCCTGCTGTAATGGATGTTGTCACAAATCTGTCACAGGTAACCAGCTAAATTTAGAGCTCAGTAAACCAGGGGAGAGTGTGCTGTAGATAAGAGCATTGGGATGCAAAAGTCACAGTAGTAGCACAAAAAGTCCACTTGTGGCAGGTGACAAGGGGGAAGCACAGAACATTTGGTTCCCACTGAGCACCATCACCCACGTTGTGGCAAACAAAGATGCTGTGAGGGTTCAGGTGCAGGCACAGCAGCCCCAGAGAACTTCAGGGTGTGCTGCTGCTGCTGAGGAGGGCTGGGCTGTGCTGGGGCACTTCCCTGGGCATGCAGGGTGGTGTTTGTGCCAAGCTTGGAGCTGCACAGCTCTGGGACAGGGAGCTGTGAGGCAGGACAGGACCCAGAGCTCCTGGAGCTGGACAGTGGAGCCAAACCCCATCAGATCCCAGCCTGATTCCTCAGGCAGTGTGTCCCTAAAGAGGAGAACCTGTCAGGCATGGGGGGCTCAGACCTGGGAAGCCAAGTTCCCACAGTGGAATGGCTGGGTGATTGTCAAAACTGAGATCATTGTACATTTTCTGTCTTTTGAGAAGAAGAAAGTGAGGAACGTGGAGGAGAAAAAGCAATGAAAAGATGAAGGCAGGTGGTATAAGAAACAGCAAGATGGAGAGAATCCATATTCAAAGGAGATCCAATTCTCTGCATTGTGATCCTATGGATGTCAAGTACAGGGGATAAGTGAGGGAAGGGCAGAAAAGAGTGAAGAACAGCAGGAGGCAAGGCATGGCAAGGAAAGGAGAGGGTGAAGTGGAGGCAGAAAAACTTAAGCAAGCAGATCAAATAGCACAGGTATGCAACTGCTTTGGCACACCTGGTTTAGTGTCTGTGTTTCTGTGTGATGCTCCATGCTGGGCTGGGGCACAGCAGAGGTGAGGCCGTGCCCATGGGGTGCTCTGGCAGATGGGGATGGCACAGCTGAGCTGAGCTGCTGTCACCCAGTCACTGTGACACTGGGGCAAACATCTGTCCCTGTGTGACAGAGCATGGAGCACGGGGTGGGTGGCACAGCAGGGCCAGGGCTTCAGCAGAGCTGCTGATCCTTCCTGTGCTAAACAACCACAGGGACCCAGCCACACTGCTTGGTTTTCCAATTGCCATCTACATAAACATCAACTATGAACAGCACTTTACTGAAGAGGTTAAATTCTGCCTTTTAAAAGTGAAATCAGCTGTTTTGCTGCCAGGGAGTTGTGCCCTCCTGTTGCCTCAAGAATAATGGAACATTGGCATACTGACATGTAAATCATATTGCTGGAGAATGTGTTATCTCTCTTATTTGTGACTGCATCGTGCCACAAAGTGCTGCATCTTGTAATTGGGGGCTCTCTGATGAATTCATTGCATGCAAAGTCTGTGAAAATTATTAGCACAGCATATTTCCATAATTAAAGTGTTTCTTATGGTACAGATTTGTAGACTCCCTAACTGCTGTATGTTACTTTAATGCAAAATTCTATGAAAACTCAAATACAAGCAGAACAAAGCTTCTATGCATAGAGAATGTTTCTCATTAGACCAGTTGTTGTAGCTGGGAAAAGCAATCAAATCATCCTGGTTCAGGGACACTTTTAGGTGATGGATGAAAGCTTTATTCATTGCTGATCACAAAGAAATGGCCAGCATCTCTCACAGAAATATCTTTGCCCTGCCATGAGTGGCATAACCAAATAACTAAAATTTAACCTATAATGAAACATTCATAGGAATTGCTGCTTTCAGGACACAAGTCTGACTGTTCCATTAAGAATTATCCCAAGGTAATATTAATATTTTGATGGTTTCCAGCAAGTCAATAAATAAACATTTTCTTTACTCACAGGTTTGCAGTTTTAGGTAGCTCCTGGAGTCTGATAGTTCTGTGAAACAGAAAATTCCTTCTCCTGTTCTCCCTTCAGTAAAAAATGTGCCAGAATATAGCAGATAGCTTGGAATAATACTTTAACTATTAGTTGTTGACTGCAAAATCCATTTGTCTTGTTGAGGCTGTCATTTGGCTACATTACCCTTTCTGTAACCCTGGAAACAACTTCAAATACTGTGATACTTGAAAAGTCTGAAATATAATGTACCCTTAAAATGCTATGAGTGGTTTTTGAGACTCCCTGTACAAAGGAAGAAAAAATAATTTCCCTTTATAGAGGGCATTAAGCAGTGATGGATGTGCATTGCTTTGTGAGAAAGCTGATCCTCACCTGTTGTAGGTGGGGTGAGAAACCATGCCAGCAGCACTGACAAGTTTCCTCTTTACCTGCCCACAGAGTTCAGGAATCCCTCTCTCAAAGTGTTACAGAAGGGGATTTTCAGGAGGCAATAAATAAATTTTGATCCCTCTGGTTAATGCAGTTAAGGTCAAAGAGATTCTATCTGGATCTATTTAAAATACTCTTAACCTGCAGACATACTGCTGTCAGTAGTGCTAAGTGTCTTAGCTGGCTGAGCAATGTATACAACCCTTATGAAACTATTCTTAAGTATTCTGGTTACTATATTTAGCTCTGTCTTATAACAAGACAAAAAGCACTTAGCTAAATGCAGTCCTGAAGTGCTTAATCCAGTTAAGATTATTTTGTCCTTAGGTGTCTTCTGCTAAGACATTTTCTTGCTCACCGTCCTGCTGCATCATGCAGAAAGCTGCTCTGGGTGGCTGGGCCTGTGAATTCTTTTATGGGTGTTTATTCTGTGAGCTCCTCCAGGTCTGCTGCTGGCTGAGGGCATTGCTCACTTTCATTAGGAAGCCTCATTCCTCTGGCAGCCCAGATCTGCTGCACTGCAGCAGTGACAGCTCCTCCTGGGCACTGGGGAACGCAGTTTGGGCTTCATTTCCCAGTTTGGGCTCAGTGAGCATCAGCTGGGCTGTTGGCACTCTTGGTGACCAGGACTTCTCTCAACTTCTCAGCAGTTGTTCTGTCCCAGAAGTCAGAGAAGTCTGACTCCTCAACAGACTTCTTCTGTTCTGGCTGGGTGGGAGGGAGGCCAACCATTCTAATGAGGCAGGAAACCCATCAGGCTTCCTGGGAGCTTTCAGTTGTTAGACAACCTGTGGGCAAAGTTTCCATAAAATACAGTTTCTATAAAATAATGCTTTGCACTCCAAGCTTGGGAAAAATCCTTTTCTTTAGCTGAATTTTTGCATGGTCAAGTCTGCACACAAAGAACAATTTTTCCCTGATGAATTTTGATAGAACTTTCTGTGTATCCACAAGAATTTTTTTGTAATTTAACCCATTGCTTTAAAAAGACTTTTCTTTATACCTGTGCATCTCTGAACTTATCCCCAGTCACCAAATCTTCTGTAGGGGGCATTTTTCTATAGAAGAAACAAGTGGGTGATTTTGACAGAACAGCACTGAGGGATGAGCATTGGGGATAAGAGCCTCAGCTCAATAGGGTAACAAATAAGATCACACACTCCTTTTGAACTGGAATACAGCATGGGTGGGGTAGCACTGCTGTGAGAGCAGAGACACAGCAGATCCACTGAGTTTAAGTTTGCTGTGCAGGTGTTGTTTCCAGTTACAGCATCACTGGGGTGTCAGGAGTTAGGTGATATTTTCCCTAGATTTTGTGTGTCCCATCAGTAGCAAGTATTAAAGGGAGGCCTTGAGTCCATTCACAGCTGGGTGCTTGTGACTTGTGCTGACTTTGCTGATGATGTTTGTCTTGAAGGAGGTTTTGGCTGCAAGATCTGATAGATGAGGTTCAGGTCATGCTTGTGGTTTTCACAGCACACCAGATAAACTGTCGTATTTGGAAGAGCTCCAGTTGCTCCTCAGTGGCTCCTGGCCAGTGGGGCCATTCTCCCACCCTGCTGGGTCACACAGCTTTCTGGGCATGAGAGCTCACATTGGCCTCCCCAGGCTGCTTCTGTGGCAGTAGGTGATGCCCACAGAACCAGGAGCCCAAGAACTTGGTTTAACTTGGAAAGCTTTGCTGAGCTTTCATTAGTCATACTTGAGTATGGTTCTAATTTGTGGCGGTAGACTTCTCTCAGCTTGAAGTGATTACAGCTGTCCAGGCTGTCTTACCTGCAACTGTGTTTTAACTGGACTTGCTTTTCCTTGCAGGATTAATTTTTCTCCATCTCTATTTACATGGTGGTAAGAAGTGCTAATCCCACTCTGTCAGTCTGGACTGATGAATCTGAGGAATAGAACAGGTAATTTCTAATTTGGTTTGTAGCTTTTGGTGACTCAAGTAATGAGAACCACTCCCTCTCTTTGGAGTGCATTCATAACAAAAGAATTCATACAGTATCTCCTGCCCAGGTCATCTGCAGGGAGGGAGATCCTTGCCCTGGAGCGGGGAAGGAAGGATAAAATTTTGTGGCTGTTGCTGTGAGCAGCATCCTTGACTTCCTGACAGTTGTGGGTGGTTCTGGTTTGTGTTATTTTTATAGCTACCAACATGTTTGAGCTTGGAGTAGTCTCTAACGAGAGGAAATCTTTTGGATTTACCTATTGAAAAGTGCCCCTAGAGTTCTGGGCAGCATGGGGTGTTTTGCAGGGCAAGTGCTCTGTGGAGATGGGGGCAGATTGGTTCTGAGGGTGGGGATGGGTGTGATTTCCTCTTTAGAGGTGTCTGAAGGGCATTCCAGCAGAGCTGAACTGGGCAACGTGGTGTGGGGTGACAGCAGCTGCCTCACCTGCACCTCCCTGGCTCCTGTCCCTCAGACTCAGCCCATCTGAGTCACAGAAAGTCACCAGTGAAGAAGTTACCTTTGTGTTGAATTTTCCATCATTTAATGGAGCTTTAGAGTACTGTGTACTCCCAATACTCCTTACTGGGAGTTGTTGCCACTTTTCTCCTTCCCTGGCTAGTGCCAGGTGAGGATATTTAAATTGAAGCCTTGGGTATGAGTCCCAGGACACAGCTCAGATGATGTGGGAGCAGTCCAGCATGGCAAGCAACAGTCACTGGCTGCAGGATGCTCTGGATGGACCTGTCTATCACATCATCTCTTAGATAGCCTGATAGCATGCTGCTGTTGCCTAATGCCAGTCCTTTAGGGGATTAGCACAGTTTCTTTCTCCTCTGTCTTTCCACTGGAAATCTCAGATATGTTTCAAGCAGGGTGGGCAGTGACTGAAATCAAGCAGTAGCCTCTGTGATTTCCCAGAACAGGACCAGCTGTGGTGCTGCCTGCTGCAGACACCAGGGCAGATTTCTCTCTTTTTTGCTCTTGCATTTGACAGGAAGATGCTGATTCCTGTACAGAGATGGGTGCTTCAGCAGGATTCCCTATCCTCAGAGGGCAGGACAAAGGCAGGCTGAGGGGCTGTTAGCTTTTAATCTTTCCTTTTAAAGTCCCTGTAGGTGGATGTTTGGGCATGTAGCAGCAGTCCCACTTCTCATGCCTCAGTAGCTGACTGAACATGCAAAGAAAGATATACCAGGAGTGGAATTTGGGAAAGGGAAGATTGAAACATCCAGGAGGTCTTTAAGTACAAAGACTTATCACTACACTCCATGTTTTGACATTCTGAGCAAGATAGGGAATGTGTCTCAGTAAGTGCTTCTGTCTTTCCCTTGCAGAGCCCTGTGTTGTGTAAACGAACTGATGGATGAAGATGAGAAGGACAGGGCAAAGAGGTATGACAGCATGCACTCCTGGGGGAGAACTGTAAATGCTGTTTTGTCCAGTGCTTGACAATGAACTTGACCCCACTGATGTCAGAGGCAAAGCTCCCACACAGTTTACAGGCTGTGTATAGCTGACCACAAGCAACACAATTTAAGTTCAGGCTTCTCACAGAGTTTGGCCACCCCTACAATGGGTAATCTGGCTGAGTGGGCCTTAAATTCCACTGCTGTGCCCTCAGGAGCTCATGCTATCCCATGGCTATTTATTATCTTGAAGCAGGATTCCTGACCTGTGATTTTATTGGCACCAAGCAGTGCTGCCCACCTGGGGTAGAGCTCCCTTTGCAGTCCTGCTTTAGCCCAGGCCTGAGTTAATCTCTGTCAGAGAAGCTCTTGACTCAGTTCTGTTCAGTCATTGCACACTAGTGCCAAAACAGAGATGGCTGTGAATGCTGGATCTGAGAACATCCAAATGCCAACCTGAGTATGAATGGAAATGCTTTCTGCATACCACCCTCAGTCTGGATCACAGCAAGTATGCATCATCGTGAATACACTTGTAAAGCAAATTAATTACTACTGGAAGAGATTGCATGAAAAGTGTTATCTCAGATATGAGCACTGGAAAGAAAACTTTGGAAGGAACTAAATGGGTTTGTTTTCTCCTCTACTGTTTTTAATGGAGGGGGAAAGCCTAATAAATATTCTTGATTTGTCAACTGAAAGCTAATTGTAATTCTGCAGCCAGACCTGTAACATTCCCAGTTTCATACATCACAGCAGTAGTTTTTCAAGACCACATACAAGATTTTATTCTGCAGTTCAGTTGCCTCTGCAGTGTTGTCTCTTGATAAGCTCCTTTTGTAAGTGCAAATCAGAGAAATCCTTCACATTTTGACATTTATATGTTTGTGTACTAACTGCAAAACAAAAGTTCATAAAAATTAAGTGAGCAAAACATGAATATGCATGAACACACTTTTCTCTTACTGGAGGAATTTGTCCCATAACACCTTCACTATCACTGCTTTTGAAACAGTGGGAAATGAAAGGTATGAAATGTATGTCAGGATATGATCTTTCCCAAATGAGCCCAAATATGTGTTACCTCCAGATGTTCCTTGCTGCTGGTGAGTTCAGTCTTGCTACCAGCAAAATCTTTGTGTGCAAGCCCAATTTTAAACAAATAAACATTCCCAGCAGAGTTTAGATTCCTGTATCTAGTGTGTTTTTGTGGGGCAGGATAGATACCTCACCCTGGTTTGGGCTGTAGCTCCTTCATTCTGCTGAGTGGCATTTGTGCTTTTGTCCCCAGGGCATCACGCAACAAATCTGAGAAGAAGAGGAGAGACCAGTTCAATGTCCTCATTAAGGAGCTGTGCACCATGCTGCAGGGCCATGGCCACCCTCTCAAGATGGACAAGTCCACAATCCTGCAGAGGACCATTGACTTCCTACAGAAACAGAAAGGTACTGGGGGCGCTGCCCTGCAGCTGCCAGAAAATGCAAATCCCAAGCATCTCAGGGGCCACCCAGAGAGGACAGGAGCCTGACTGAGGGGCAGAATAAGGGACAGTTGGCCTCAGGAGGTGGCTAGGGCTGAATACATTGCTGACCAGTTAAACACAGGTTTGAAAAGGTGCAGTGCTGTGTGCCTTTTACTGTAGATACATCATTACCCTCACTGGCCTCCACATCCCCTGGCCTGCATTGTGCTCTCTCAAACAGAAGAGCTGAGGAACAGCACCCATTACAAAAGTCAGAGGAGAGGGTGTTGTATGCCATCTTCCCAGGTCTCTTGGATTAGGAGATGATAAGCCTGTCCTGCTGCCTGGGCACTCACAACAGCAGCTTGTGAAACAGCTCCAGAGTTGAAGGGCACAGCTCCTGAATTGCAGATACCCTTTGCTCACAGGAATTCTCTACTACTCTAAAATTAGCCCATTGATCTTAATTTTTAAGGTTATCTTCAGGCCACCTAGAATATCTCCATTTCCCTTTCTTGATTTCTAATGCATTTGTATCATGATGGCATGGAAAATGACTGTTGCATGCAAGAAGGCTTTGTGTGAAGATTGATATAAGGATTATTCCTCTAACAGCTTCGTTAAAGAAATCTTACTTGAAAACGAAAAAAAAATCCAAGTAGCATGAGTCATGTTGCTTTTTTGATATTTTCTCTTTAAGAAATCACAGCACAGACAGAAGCCTGTCAGATTAGACAAGACTGGAAGCCTTCATTTCTTAGCAACGAGGAGTTCACCCAGTTGATGTTAGAGGTAAGAAGAAATTAAATAGATTAGTGAGAAATAATCAGTTCAGTGGAGTAGATCAGGGATATACAGTTCTTTTTCACCTGTAGGTCCCAATGTTAATGATTTCTACTCTGCTGGCACACACAATGCAGACCTGACAGAGGCCAATGTTGTACTAAATGCTTTGCAGACACAGAATTAAAAATAAGATTGCTTCCCCTTGAAGATAAATGGCTTTTGGTTTGGGAATCAAGGTTGATTTGGCCTGGTGAGAGAGGGAAAAGAGAATTTCCTTTTCTCAGAAGAGCCGCTAGAGCTGGCGGCTTTAGGAAAAACTTGAAAGGGCCTGAAAGAAGCAGAGCAGCTCTGTTCCTCCCACATGCCATTAGGCAGCAGCACTGCCTGTGCTGCCTCTGCAGCTGCTGTCCTCTCTCTGGGAGTGCTGCCTCTTCTGCTCGAATTGCCTTCAAGTGCATTCAGGAAAACAGCTCTTACACTCCCACCTCTGAAATGCTGTGCTGATCTAGAAACATCCCCCAAACCCACATTTCTGCCCTGGCTCCTGTGGCAGGGACACCTCCTGCCCTGCGTGGGCAGCGCTGCTCTTTGCCCCACCAAAAGCAGGGTGGATGCTGGGCTGAGCTGGGAGGTGCTGCTGTGTCTCAGCTACTCTTTTTCATCAGGATGTCATGACTCACCTCTCTGGAAAAGTCTGTTCATTCTTTCTGGGAATCTCTCTTGCCAAACAAGCCGGCTTGTTCCAGCTGAATCCAAACAAATTCCCCCCTTAGGCTGGAAGTGGTGGGGGAGAGCAAGCCCTGTAATAACTGCTGGCTGGACTCTGGCAGACCAGTGAACAGTTTGCTTAAAATCAGTGGGATTTTCCCAGAGAGGACCCAATTTGAGCAAAGGCAGAGTGTGGCAGTGAGTTGGGGAGATGGGGAATGCTGCATCTTTGGTCCCTGTAGCTGAGCTGCAGAGCAGCCTAACAGTGTCTTTAGAAGAGCTTTGTGCACAGTGCTGACCAGCTATTAAACCTCCCAGATCTTGATGTTAGGGAAGAATAAGGACAGACACTGCATAAATGGTACAAGGAGATACTGTGAAGAATAGGGAGAACACAACATCCAAGGGGAAGAGCACAGGCAGTGACTTAAAAGGGACAGAGAGGTTTGACTCTGGGACAGTGGATGAGAAAGGGGAAAACAGAACAAGCCTTAAAATTCTTTTGTCACTCACCTTACAAATCAGTGCTTTAAGCAAACTAAATAAGGCTTTAGATCCTTTTCATATTGTCCATAAACTGCTAAAAATACATAATTGTATAGTTTTTCTGTCTCTGCTTATCCATCCACAAAGCTGGATTTGCCATGATGATATCTGACATCTCCTTACGCACTGAGTTTGTTAACTATTGTGTAATTCAGAACACATAATGAAGTGACTGAAGTCAGCAGGATTGTGTGGGTGTTGAAATTCTAAGCATCACTGTCTCACTTCATGTTAAATAAATACTCACTGGGTGAAAAATACAAGTCAATTTAATAATAATGAGAATGAAAAAATAAGAATATAAAAAGAATGTTGAATTAGACAGCATGTGTAATTTTTATTTTTCCACATTGAGCTGTCTTTTCTTTGATTAATTTCTGCTAGGTTTAAGCTGTTAGAAGCATCACTAAAGAATCAACGAATCTAAAATATTTTAAGTTTTTCCATTGCATAATTCTGTTTTGGGTTTTTTTTTCCTTTTTTTTTTCCTGTCTATTATCATTAGGCACTGGATGGCTTTCTCATTGCTCTTACCACTGATGGGATTATTATCTATGTGTCTGATAGTGTTTCATCTCTGCTGGGACACTTACCGGTAAGTTCTGACCATGCAATACCCTGAGGCTCATCCCCCTCCTCAGTGCAAATCAGTCACTGCAGGGCTGGGGATTGGTTTTGTCCAACCAAAGAGGGAACTGACTGTGGGTGGGAGGTCAACCAACAAACTCTTGTGGAGTTTCTCAAGTTCCTGTGAATAACAGATTCTCTCCCAGGGTCTGTGAATTAGCTTAAAAAAACCCAACTATGCAAAATCTCTGTGCTCATAGCTCATCATTTGGCTGTCCATCTAAAGGTCTGGGAGGTGTTTGACCCTCCAGGTTAATGGAAAATCTTATGATTGTGAAATGAGTGCTGGAGCTCTTCTTAGATAAGGTAAATATTATTTCAGAACTGAATCTATGCTCTTTGAATGACATTGGGTTTTTCTACTTTGAGCCCATAGTCTTCAGTAACAAATGTGTGGTCTCAGAGTTTTCTGAGAGAACCACTAGAAATTAGTTAGTTTTCAGGTGCAGAAATTTCAGCTTTGCCCCTCAAAAACATTTTTCTCTTTATCTAGTGCCAAGCATGAAGCACCAAGGATGTCCTAAATGAGGGAAAATTGGAGCACACAGTTACCTGAATGTCATGTGTGCAAAGAACAAATCTGTGCTGACATTTTGGTAGAACCCCTTTAATCAGGATGTGTGGGTTGATGAGCACTGAATCACTTGCAGGTCAAGCTGATTTTGCCAGATGTTCAGCCTAGATGACAAATGGAGGCTGTAGGGAGCAGCTCTCCTTCTTCTGTGTCCTGCTTTCAAAGAAAAATGTTTCACTTCTCATCATGTTATATTCCTGTGGTACCAGGGTTTCTTCTCCAGCCTGTATCTGCCTGAACTGAAGGGAAACCTCTGGAACTTATTCAACCTTTTGCAAATAGATAGTAATCCTGGGGTAAAATAGTCTAAGGGTTAGATTCTGCCCTAGATCCATCTGCAGATTGACTGGGCTTCCTTGTCTTGGGCATCTGCACCAGACCAGCAGTGTCTGTGCTCTGCTGAGGGTAAAAAGGCATGTGGTTGTGTCAGGCTGTACTGCTGAACATGACAAAGCATTCTTTTGTATCAGTCAGATTTGGTGGACCAAAATATATTGAATTTTCTGCCTGAAGGGGAGCAGAGCGAGGTATACAAGCTGCTTTCTCCACATGTGCTCATGACAGATCCTGTTGCAGCTGATTTTCTCAATGGTAAGCTCTGCTCTTGTCTGTGGGTCAGAGAAGTTTGCCAGAGGTGAACAGCTCCCAGGGAAGTCTGCACAGAGCTCTCCAGCTGTCTAATGCTCTTGCCTGCCACTTCTGTCTTGCTGCATTTGTGGGTTTTAGTGCATCACATCTCTAATGTTCCTATGCGCTCCCAGTACTTGCTCGTTGATTAGGACAGTCTTTGTTTTACCATGTGCTTTGCCCCTTGGATGGTAGATGCTTTTCCCCAGATGGGATGCTGGACTAACCCTGAGAAAGGAGTGAAGGCTCAAGGGAAAAAAAATTGGAGAAATCCCAAACGGTATTGGCAAAGCCATCATTTCTTAGGAAGCTTGCTTGTCTCAGGACACGAGAGAAGCCCTAATGTAACTTAAGCAACTTCCTATCTGAACAGTCCATCAGGATCTGTACTGCAGGCTGCTGTCCCATGTCCCCTTCCCTCAGAAAACGTCCCCAGGACCAGAGCAGGCAGGAGCATCTTCCCAACACCTGTGTTTCATTAATGAATGTTTCAGCCTGTGCTGAGCCCCCACCCTTTTCCCAGTGAGTTTGGAAAAGCCACTGAGCAGCACGGGGCTCCCCTCCTGCTGCCCTATGAGCACCAGTGGGAGCTGAGCAGCCTGAGGATGCTCTGAGCACCCTGATGGTCCTCTAAGCAGCCTCTTGGTGCTCTGAGCAGCCTCTTGGTGCTCTGAGCAGCCTGGTGATGCTCTGAGCACCCTGATGGTGCTCTGAGCAGCCTCTTGGTGCTCTGAGCAGCCTGGTGATGCTCTGAGCACCCTGGTGATGCTCTGCCTGGGGGTGGTTTCCCTCAGGCTGAAGGCCATATGGTCTAATCCATAGAGTTCAGACTTGGGGCAATAAACTGGATTAGAGCTTGGCCCAGTGCCCTCCAGTGTTAATGGAAGGGCTCAGGGTGAGTTCAGTGCCCTTTGATCCCACTGAGCAGTGCCAGAGCACAGTGCTGCAATACCCTGTACCTGCCCTGCATGAAATCCTGCATCCATCCATGGAGTCAGGGGAAAATCGTGCTGGCCAGTGCAGCCAGGGCTTCCTGCTCAACTCACTGGGGTGACTGCAAAGACAGGAAAAAAGGGTGAGAATACATTTCCTTAAGCAGAAACAGATGATAATTGCTCCTAGTAGTTATATATTTACATCTGGGTATCAGAATCTTCCCAGCAGGGTGTGCTCAGATAGCACTTGGTAGATAAATTAAATATGTGAGTGAGCTAAAGTGCAGACTTCTAATAACATTGTCTGTGTCTCCCTCTCTTTCTCTCGTTTCAGCAGAAAAACAAATAGAGTTTTGTTGCCATTTAGCAAGAGGCAGCTTAGATCCAAATGAACCCCTGATGTATGAATATGTGAAATTTGTAGTGGATTTTAAATATTTTACTCATGGTAAGTTACTGTTCCAGCCTACCTTTGTCTCTCCACCTCTCTCCTTTAATTGTATTGATCTGTAGCATCTTAAAGGCTCTGTTTCTGCTGAAATTGCCCCATAATTGTCAGGGATGGAATGGGCTGTGCATACATTGGATATATTTTTCATACAAAAGTGGTGGGGAGTCTGTTGATCAGAAGAGTGCACTCTCCTGTATGTTGTGCCTAAAGCTGATACCAGACTGAAAATGCCTCTGTTGGACCCACTGCCAATTGTAAAGCAGCCTCCTTATTCATATAGCCAGTAAAATATGGTATTCTGTTTCACTTGTGGCAGTGGAATGACACTTTACAGAGATTAAATACTTTGAGGTGCCTGTAAAATCCTGAATCTTGCAAATGTTGGCCTGGAGAAAGACTAAGGAGACTGCAGCTGCACACTGTGAGCTGCTCTGAGCTTACAAAGCTGCCCTGGGTGGGGGTTACAGCTGTGTACCTTGGAGCCTACAGGGTCGTGTTTTAAATGACACCAGCATGGATCAGGGTGGCATCACCCTGTGGTTGCTGGGTTTCTCCACTCACTGTACCTGTCTTAACACGGGGAGAAACCTCTCCTTCCTCTTCTTAAATAAACTGTCTGGTTGTTCCTAGTGCCTACACCCTCCTGTAATGGCTTTGAGTCAGCTATTGCACGGGCTTTCAGGTCAGCCCCAGAGGAGCAGATCTGCCTGGTGGCCACCGTGCGCCTGGTCACACCACAGTTCCTCAAGGTGAGCCCTGAGCACCCACAGCAGCTGGGGCAGCAGCACGGGGCTGGTGGAGGAGAGGAGGGGACGTGGCTGTGGCTGGGTATTGGAATATTAACCAATATTGCTGGACAGAACATGCCTGAGCTTGTCTGGCCCTTGGTGCTGAACCAAACAGCGGCAACTGTGGTGTTTCACCCCACAGACACTTTTGGCTGGCTGGGTGCTGCAGCTGGGCCCGTGGAGACAAGTCCAGGCCTGCAGGCCTCTGGTGGTGCTGGGATGGAGCTTCCCCCCATAACAGGGGCTGCTCCTTGGGTTTCCCTCTGGTGGACAAGCTTTAAGGTGATGGTGAAGGAAAGGAGTCAGTTCTGGTGGAGGGTTTGGATCCAGAGCTTTATTCTGGCCCACAGGCCTCTGAATGCAGCAGCAGCTCCAACAGAACTCCCTGAGCCCGTAGGTGCTGTTCCTTTAACCCCAGGGAGAGGGGCAGGGAAGGGGTAGGGAGCCACCAAGCAGGTACAGGAGAGGAGGGACAAAGGGACAAAGGACACCTGGATGGCCCAATGCCCCCCAGGGGTAGGGGGCATCCTTTGGATCTGCCAATTCCTCAATGCCCTTCTGGAATGCCAGGACTGACAGACAGTGCTGGGAGAGGGCAGGGAAGGGGAGGGAAGGGTGACTGACACACCTGGCAGGGAATTATCAGGGAGGGATCCGGGGTTCTGGAGTAAACCCTGAAATCACAATGGAACAGCTGGGAGTGGGAAATGACAGAAGTCTGTATTTTGGAAAGATAAGGGATGAAGCAGGAGCTGCTCTTGAGAAGAGGTGGGTTTGTGGTGGGGTGTCTCGGAGGGAAGCTCCAGGACAAGGTGACCAGCTGCACCACTTGGGAATTTGCAGCCTTCAAAGATGAGCATCCACCACTCCTTTGTGTGAGGATCTGCATTTTGGAACATGGAAAATGTGTGTTATGGTTGCTGCTGTTCTGTGAGTGTCCCGTGGCACTGATTGCAGGGATAACAACCCTAGTGCTGCTTGCTCAAGAGGGCATTACCAGCTCAGTTAGAGCCTGGGCCTGGAGCTGCCATCCATATTCAAATACCAGGATTTGCAAAAAGCTGGGGAATTTTGCCTAGAGTGCAAGATGAGACTCTTTGACTATTTATCCTAGCTCTGAAATTCAGCTCAAGGTTAACTATTCACCCATTTTTCATCAGTTCATGCATCTATAAAACAAGTCTTACACATTCCTTAGAGGAAAATAAGTCAAGTGATTTAAAAGCACTGTATTTTGCTATGGTTTATTATATCAACAAGATGCATGCTAGGTTTTGATAGCAGGCTCCTTTTGTCATTTCACAGAATTAAATGTCTGAATGTACCCTCTCTTTTGCAGGAGCTCTGTAACGTTGAAGAGCCATGTGAAGAATTTACATCGAGGCATAGTTTAGAATGGAAGTTTTTATTCTTGGACCACAGGTAAGAGATTTGGGTTTAGTCACTGAAGAATAAATAAACTTTAGCTTAAAACCAGATATTTTTTTATACCTGTTGCCTGAGATCCCAAATGGAATAGTTCTAATTACATGCAACTTAGTATTACATGCAACTCTGAACTTAGCTATTAGGCATCCTTAAATGCTTCACTATTTTCCATATTTTAGGCAAGTAGGAAACCATGGAAAATGTCAAGAATGTATAGAACAATCCTAACCAAGATAATAAGTCATTAAAAGTGAGCAGTGTGGGTCCCAATATATTCCCCATATTGGTTTAGCTCCTCTGTTCTGCAATTACAGCTTCCAGGAATCCTTCTAAATCTTTTGCTGTGTCAATAAGCTTTTGACTTCTCAGCTTGAGAAAGGATAGAATTTCTAAAACCAAAATAAAAAACAGTGGATTTTATTATTTAATTGTTGATTAGTTTTTGACAATGCAATATGGTAGGCTAGAATTCAGCTTCGTGAATGAAGCAGACTGGAACCAGTTTATTAAGCTGCTTAATTTAGGATTAATTTTCTTCAAAAGAAGCTGGTGGGTTTTATTCACTCTCTCACTTCTCTGTATTTGACATATGTGCATAAGCACATTGTAAAATCCTACCCTCTTCATTATCTCTCCCCTTGTGAGCTGTGCAAAGGTAGTCATTACTAAAAGCAGAAGACTAGTAAATAAGGATGTAAGGAAAAAAATATTGGTGAGGAATAAAATGTAAATACCATCTCCACATTTAGAGCAAGAAAGAGAGAGCAAATAAAAATGAGTAATAACTTTCATTTCTATAGAACAGAAGGTGTGTGCCTCACATCATACCTTGATGCATGGAGGAACTGACCCTGTGACACCCCTACATTGATTATGTGTGGTTTGGGACAGTCAGATAATTATTAATTCAGAGGAGATGTTGCTGGAGTGGTTTTGTTAGACTTTCATTGGCCTGTCTGATAATGCACATTTTTAGAATCAGCTGATTGATGTTAAGATTTGTAAAAGAGCCTCGAGCCCCTCACGTCACTGATGAAGTGAGCTGCTTCTCCTCAGGGCTGTGTCCCAGCAGCTCCTGTGAAAGAGCTGAGTAGGAGCTGCTTTGAAACTTGTCAAAGAGCCTTTTGATGAATGTGGGTTATGACTCAGAGAGGAATCTCTGTGCTGGGTGCTTGCAGACACTCCAGTCCCTCTGATATCCCCAGAGAGGAGGCCATTGCTACTGAGAGGAAATTAGGATGATGCAGATGCTGAGGCAGAGTTTGTGACAGATTCAGATACAAGCAGTGAGCTCAGACCCAAGAATGAGAGGAGATTGTGGGAGTTGTCTCATTTAATCACTGATTCCAAGCTCCCTCCAGTACAATCTGCAGGACACTGAAATGTTGCTGTTTCTTGCTGATTTGCATCAGCACAGGCTGCCTGGCACTGAGGTGTGCCATCAGCAGAGTAGAGGGTACCCAGCAGCAGCTGGAATCAAGACCTTTACTGTCATGATCACAATTCAAATCAAAGATAGATACAATAAAAACATTCCATAGATGTGAATAAACATGAGAACGATAGGAAAAACCTGTATTCTGGGTCTCTATGTAAATATGTGTAGAGGAAGAGAAACCCATCAACTTTGATAATGATTTGTTTCTCTTCGGCACTGTGGTACTGTTGTTATTTTCCCTTCATTTATTAAAAGACTGCACCCAAAAGACTCTCTAAAGACTGTGCATTCCCATTGCACAGCAAGCTGCAGATCTCAGGACTGGAACTTGAGCTAACAAGACACTTTTAAATTGCTCCACAAGGCATCTCCTTGTTAAATGACAGATGAGGAACGTTTTGTGGTTTCTTTCTTTTATGAAGAGCTCTGGTGATATTCAGGAAAGCATAATAATTTCCTGATCAGCTTAAATGTTTGTCTGATGTGCATCTGAAAGACACTATTGTCTTGAATATAAGCAGTAGGAGAAACAGTGATGCATTCTGCCAAAGAGACAGCAAGGACACTTTAATAAATACACATATTATCATCATTAACAGCAATCTGGGTCACATGAGGAAAAGGAACAGAGTGCTGTGAAAAGTTACTTAAATAAATAAAGCTGTATTGTGACAGAGACCACATATGTGCTCAGCACATTGTGTTCCAGGGGATGTGCTGTCAAGGGGAGGCCTGGCTCTCCCAGCCAAGCCCTTGTGCTGGGATCAGGAGCTCCTGCTCACACCTTGCTCCTCCTGGCACTGCTGTCAGGCACATTGTCCTTCTCCCCCATTCTTTGTGCCAGGCTGCCACAGCTGTGGGGAGGAGAGAGGTTATGGACCTGCCTGGGCTCTCTGTGGCTGAATAACCAATGCCCACTGTCCCTCTCAAGGGGAGAAATGTGGCACAGCCAAGAGAGAATTTCATACAGTAATAACCAAGAAACTCAGGACTGATCCATCGAAACCCACCTGTAATACACTGAAATAGCTTTTTCCTTGTAGTCTTGGCCACTTTATGGCCTTCTTCCTTAAGAGCACAGCTGAGCAGGACAGAGGCAGCAGGAGAGGCAGGTTTGATAGGCACCATCACCTCCAGCCTGCCCCATTTTGAGTTATTTACTATTTTGCCCAAACTGAACTTGGCAGGTGAGCACTGCCAGCACATCCTGCAGCCACATCAGCACAGATCCTGCCCCACTGAGTGCTTGAGTTGGTGCAGGCAGGGTTGGACCTGAGCTCTGGGAGATGGAGAGTGACAGGCTGGTACAGGGAGCAGAGACAAAACCAGTGGTTTTCTCCCCACATTTCAGTGTTGTTTCATAGTCATAAGCTGTCAGGCAGTGTTAGGATGCCTGCTTTAAAAAAAAAAATCTCATGTTTTGCCTAGAAAAAGGAAAATCTAGAATTGATAGCAGAATAGTGAGGTAAATGATTGCAATGTGCCTATCTAAATACTTCATCAATTCAACCAAAGCACAAACAGCCTTAAATCAGCCCCATGCCTATGGCTATCTGCACTACCAGCACAGAGAGTTTTTTTGGCTGTAGTTTCCCAAACTTTTCCAGGGGAGCAATTACTTTTTCCCAAGCTGCAGCTTCCCACTTATTCTCTCTTCTCCAGTTACTACCCAGATGACACTTACATCCAACCTACTGGATAATTTTACTCTGGCTCCAGGTTGTTGTGTGCAGGATCAGCCATAGCATTTCTCAAGCTGTGTCTCACAAGCATCCTTAATGAATTGAGTCACTCACATATGTACATGCCTTTCTCTACACCCACATAATGAATAGGCTGTGGAACAGTAAACACACACCTTTTCATTTTCTCAATTTGTACCTCTCCCTCGCTGTCAGTTTTTGGTTTGTATATGAAAATGCATCACTGCCTAGATGAAAACCCACTCCAGATTTCCCTGCCAAGTGAATGATGGTGTTTGTTGCTGCATCACAGCTTATCTGCCAGGATGTCAGAGTCAAGTTTTGTGCTCACTCCCTGCCCTTTGCTTCCTTTCTAGGGCTCCACCTATTATAGGATATTTGCCCTTTGAGGTTCTGGGAACGTCAGGGTATGATTACTACCACGCAGATGACCTGGAGCTTCTTGCTAGGTGCCATGAACACTGTAAGTTGCCCTGCCTCTGCAATGTGTCTGTCTCTGATCTCCTTTGTCACTTGTGCAAAACCTTTTATTGTCATTGCAAAAGGCTTCTTCTTCAGGAACATGTGGGAACTCTCCCTGTCCATGTCAGACTGTCACAGCTGACACTTACCTGGGAGGTTGGAATCTGCAGAATTCCCTCAGATCAGGAGCTGTTAGTGCAGGTTTCCTAAATTGGCAGATACCTTGTTTGAGCACAGGCTGTCTCAGAGTGAAATGAGATTAGAAATTGGGAGTCAGAGCTATCCCCCCTCTGCCCTGTGAGTTTTGTTGATTTGTCACAGTTCATGGTCTTGCCATCCCCCTGGGCTCTGGAGTTAACCAGGAGGCTCAGCTCACCAAAACACCTTTTGAGAGCATCATTTGGATCACCTCCCTGTGCAATTAGGTGCTGTGAACCTCGCTTACTCATTAGCAAAATGCTTCTGGAGGTTCAGAATTATTTTACATAAAAAGCACTGAACACAGTTTCCCTGTGGGTGAAGATGGCTCATGTTTGGTCAACCTGAAAGGAAAACAATAAAGCACAAGAGTCAAGTTCAGGCTAATGTATGAACACCAAAGAAGGTCCATGAAGAAATATTACTTACAGGTTTCTTGTGGGGGACACTGTCTGTCTCTCTGCTATCTCCACTGGAGAGGAGAATGTTTTGTTCAAAGGAAACAAGGGCACCCCAGAGAGGGGAGTAAGCAGGAAGCTGTAATTGCTCTGAGATGCAGAGCAGCACGAGGCTGGGACCAAGAAACTCCACCAAGAAGCCCCACAGCCCACTGGAGAAAAGCTGCAAACCACCCTCATCTCTACCACAGACCCTCTGAGGGATCCAGAAGAGAATGGGGAAGAATACTTGTCTGCATGTCAGGTTTCCCTGCTCCATTTCCCTGCTCCCTGCCCTGCCCTGCCCAGGTGCCAGGGAACTGGGTTGCCTGGCTGAGCACAGAGGGGAAGCTGTGACAGGGGAACACAAAGTTGTGTCAAATGCAGCAAAGTGAATATTAACTGAGTATTTTAACTGCTCTCAAGTACAATACTTCTTAATGTCGTTTGCTAAAAAGACAATTCAGATACAAGTGTGATCCATTTGGTGCATGTGGAGTTTGATATAGACACAAACTGTACTGAGAGTGGGTCAGATCATTCAGCAGAGAATCAATTTGATGATTTAAATTTTACATGTCTATCATCCAGGCATTCTTCTTACCTATTAGAAGAATATTTTCACAACACACCTGTAGGAAAGGATTTTTTTGTTTTAGTGCACAGGGAAACAAAGTAAAGTGCTAGCAAAGTGACTTAGAGAAGTGCTTCAGGACATGTCTGCCAGGACTAGGAACTGAGGGATCCCCAGCATGTCATGTTAGCCAGAAAATCTCTGCTAAATGCTTGATCTAAAGCCCATCACTGTTAATGGGATCACTGAATAAATCAGTCCTGATATTTTAACAAAATAGAGGTGTGCAGGTGAGTAAAAAACCACTTGGCTTAGTTTGGTTTGCTAGGTTCCTGTTTGTCACATTGACACTTTGGGCAGACACCTTGCCTACTGTCGAGTGAAATGGTTTTGTTTAAACCATGTTTGTATTTTACTTTGCATTAATTGTGGGTACTTTAAGTGAGCATGTTTCATTTTGTACTCCCAGCAGTCTGGAACAATTTGTGTGGTTATTTAATGTAGCTCCCCTCACTATTCTCCAGTTGTATTACAGCACCTGAGATTTTTCTGGACATAGCCTGATAATACATACCAGGTTGGAGTAGGCCATATCTTAGAAGAAAACTCTCAACTAAAATCCACTATCTTGTTTTGTGCCATTATTAGGATTCTTACTTCACATCTCCTTTGAAATGCATTCTCATGTACTTATAAAAGGCAAATAATTTGTTTAATTAATGTTATTCATGCTTATTTCAGGGAACCCATAAGTATAAGAATGTAGCTAGTTATATAGTTATCCCAGTTATAAGAGAAATCTCAAAGTAGCAAAGGGCACTCCTGAAAGTCAGCAGGAATGACCCCAGACGAGAGCTGAGTACATGGTTATGTATCATCTGTCTTGCTTATAAAGCTCGAGAACTATTTTAGCACTGCCCCAGTCTGGAAGAGGGGTGTGAGGCTGAATGGTGATTAGATCACCTTTGCACCATAAAATCCCCTTTTGCTATAAATTGTTTTCTCTTTCTGTTCAACAGTGATGCAGTTTGGAAAAGGCAAATCATGTTACTATAGGTTCCTGACCAAAGGGCAGCAGTGGATATGGCTGCAGACTCACTACTACATCACCTACCACCAGTGGAACTCCAAGCCTGAGTTCATTGTTTGCACTCATCTGGTAGTTAGGTAAGCACCATGATGTGTAATTCCATGAAACTATTCTGACAAGGAAATTGTATTCTATTTACTTTTTTTTTTTTTTTTTTTTTTTTGGCAACTGAGCCAAAAGCCTGGAAACCAGCTTTGGCCAAATGTATTGGTGTGTTACATTCCCCTTTTGTCCCTAGTGATGACATGGCCATAGAAAGAATTAAAGCTGTTGGGAATCAGACATATCTTTCTGGGCATGAATGAGATCATATAACTCCTGCAAAACCTTTTGATCAGAGCTTTAAATATTTATGACTTGAAGTAAGCTGCTGGCTTGCTGGCCTTATTCCTCACCCAAATCCAGCAAATCCAGGCCTGGATCCCCCCCTAGTGGGAAGCTGCTGGTGCTGAGCTCCAGCCCGTGCTGGAAGGCAGTGCATGCATAGGATGCTCTGTGAATGCACCTTCTGGAGGGGAATCTGCTGGATTACCACCACCATCTCAAAAAAGACTATGTGAAGAGTAAAATATATCTTCTGAAGGGCTTGAAAAAGTAGTGACACACTGGTTTGCTCTATTAACTTGAGTAAACTTATCGCTCACTGTGTTTTTGTAGTGTCAAGAATAAATTTTTTTTCTGGTCCTCCTCTTTTCCTGTCAAACATCTGGGAGAGCAAACACCAGTAAATGTGAAAAATATGGGTGTGTTGCAGTGAGCCAGAGGAGGCCATGAAGATGCTCAGAGGGCTGGAGCACCTCTCCTGTTAGGACAGGAAGAGAGAGCTGGGGTTGTTCAGCCTGGAGAGGAAAAGGCTCCAGAGAGACCTTAGAGCCTCTTCCAGTGCCTAAGGGAGCTCCAAGAGAGCTGGAGAAGGAGTGATGGAGTTGTAGACAAGGGGGAATGGCTTTGAACTGTCAGGGATAGATCTTAGGCAGAAATCCTTCCCTGTGGGAATGGTGAGGCACTGGAAGCCCAGAGAAGCTGTGGCTGCCCCATCCCTGGAAGTGTTCAAGGCCAGGTTAGCTGGGGCCCTGAACAGCCTGGGCTAGTGGAAGGTGCTCTGCCCACAGTTGAGGGCTTGGAACCAGATAATCTTTAAGGTCCCTTTCAACCCAAATTCTTTTGATTCTGATTCTGTGATCTGTGGTATAAACTACATATGAAGTGCTAACATAAGCAAATATTACACAGAGAGATTACTTCTCAGTTGTCTTACTTCTGCCATCCTTCAGGGAATTCAGCTTCACTTTAAGGGCTGAATTTATTGTGCATGAACTTGTTTCTTCTTTCTGCTTCCAGTGCCTCTTAAACCTAATGATGTAGTCCTAAATAGGTTTTGAAGTTCAATTCTGTCTCAGATAGTTAAGGCTTAAAATATGTTACTGAAGCACACAAGTTAAAATGTTCTTTCAGGAAAATTCATTACCGCAATGATATAAGTGAGGTCGGTTCAGCAGCTTCTCTTGCCTCCCACAAAGGTTGCAGCTCATTAATATTTCATCACCCTAAAGTCTGGCACCTCTCAGTGCCCACGATGCATGAACACTCAGAGAGTCTTTGAAACATCCTCTCCAATTTATCCCAGTGGTGAATCATGGGGCATTTATTACTGTAAATATTTCATTATTTCAGAGGAAAAAAAAGTAAGGAAAGAAAATATACAGTTCTAGAGGCACCTTGTAGGGGTTCCTGAACTTCACATTGCACTTGTGTAGCTGCCTGTTTGTATTTGGAGCTTCCCCTGGAGTGCAGGATGTTAACTCTGATGCATGCACAGTTCTGTGCACCCTCAGAAGGAGGGATCTGCCCAAGGCACTGTCATAGGGATCACTGAACTACCATACAAAAAAAAGGATGCTTGTTCATCATCATCAGGTTAGAAAATGAATGTACACTTGTTGTGGTAGGATACATGCAAAGAAGCTGTAAAATAATTTTTGTTGTTTTTTGGGGGGTTTGTTTGGGGTTTGTTTTTTTGGTTTTTTTTTGTTTTTTATTTTTGGTTTTGTTTTAGTTACGCAGAGGTTCGGGCTGAGAGAAGACGAGATCTTGGCCTTGAAGAGTCATCAATTGAACTGGCATCCTCTTCTCTAAAGGTACCACATTCCTTCACAGCTGAGTGAGGAGATGTTTAAACCAAACTGAGTCATAGCTTACCAGTCTGAGGGAAATATCTATTCTTCTCCATTTTCTTTGCTCCTATCTCATCCAAGCCTTGAACTGGGTCATGATTCAGGCAGGCCCTAAGAAGCTTTCTGGTGTGTGGCTCCAAATTGTCCATGTTGGTTTAGGACAAGCCAGATGAGCTTTGAACTGCCTGATCTAGTGGAAGATGTCCCTGCCCACGGCAGGGGGATTGGAACTAGATGGTCTGTAACACCAAGCATTCTTTGATTCCACAATAACTGTGAATTCAGCAGTTGCATTCTCTGTTCTGGTCCCTGTAATCTTTCTGAGACCAGGACACAAGGCTCAGCTCAGAAGCAGAGAAGCAGAGCTGAAACTGGAGGCCAGATTGCTGTACCTGTCACCCTTAGCAAGGCACAGAGGATCCCAGGGTAGGGCAGTACCACAGGGTACCTGTATTCCTTGTGCCAGCTCATCACTGATACTCAGGTGAAGATGGAAAGGCAAGGGAAAACACCTACCTAGATTTCAGCTCAGTTGCTGGATCACATCAAGTGATTGTGACCTATAACTTCTATGAGCAATAATTTCCATGGCTTGAGTCAGGGTCATTTTAACTACTTTTAAGTTTCTCCTCTTGGTAGTTTACAAATAAGACCAGCAAAGTAATTTCAAGTGGGCTGTTGTGCAGCTGTTCATTCTATCAGCCTCAGACATTATTTTATGGGAGCTCAGGCTGTTCCCTTCTGCTGCCCAGGGAGCAGTGAGTGGGATTGCAGCTCTCAGCACTGCCCAGTGCCTGTCCCCCTCAGGAGACATTTGCTGTAGGTCCCCCTGGGGCTCTAGCTGTTCCCTGTCCCTTTCCAGTTATCTCTCTCCATCTTTTCCATGGACAAAACCATTCCCCAGGTAGCACCTCCTGCCAGCATCATTCATTCCCCCTGCCAGCACCCCCAGTGCACCGCAGCCAAGCAGCTGTGACATCCCTGAAGAGATCGGGGAGAAAGAGGCTGACAAAAGCAATTTCCCGTTGCCCAGGGCTCTGTGGGCAGGGTTGAAAGAGCTGGCACAGCAGAGTTCGGGCCATGGGCAGCAATGACAGTGTGCAGCAATCCTCCAGTGCTGCTGGCTGCCATCGGGTGGGTGCCCAGGGCTGGAGAGAGGTTCCTTTGCGCCCGCAGGCTTTGGGGTGAGCGCAGCGGGGCAGGGGAGCAGGGTTTGCTGATGTGCACGCCCAGGTGCTGGGTTTGTCTGCAGACAAGGGCTCCAGGAGGCAGAGGTCCCTTCCAGGGCCATTCGCTGCTGCTGAGGGTCTCACCGTTGTGCTTCGCTCCCGCAGAGCCACAGCAGCTACCTGGAGGTGGGGCAGTGCGGCAGCAGCCAGGACGCCAGCCGGGAGGGAGTGTCGCTGTCCTCGCACAGCTCTCGGCGCTCCTCGCACACCACCCTGTCCGACTCCACCTGTACGTGCCGGGGCAGCCCCGCTGGGGGGGATGGAGGGAGGAGCAGCCTCCCAAATGCTGGGGTTGGGCTGGGAGTGACCAGGTGGTGGTGGGAGGGGGATGCTCAGCGCTGGGAGTGACACAGCGAGTCATGGCAGGTCACAGAGCAGCAACAGAGCCACGGCCACCTGCCCTGCCACCTCCTCCCCCTTACCCACCCCCTGTGTGAGAGCCATTTCCCCGGGCTTGTCACCAGCCGACGGTCACAGCTGTTTGCTGTGCTTCTGGGGACAAGAGGGGACTCGCTGGCTTGATTGAACCAAGCTCACTGACCAAAGTTTCATGCTGGGAATAATATAATTTTACTGTGGGGTCTCTCATGTGAAATCCCTGCAGAAGGAGCACAGAAGGATGCTTGCCTTGCTGGCAGCTTCATCCCAGCTCCCATCAGTGCCCTCCTTGCCCTGGGCGAGGCTGCAAGATGACTGCAGTGCTCTGTGTGGGGCCATGGGGAGGAAACTCAGGGGACTTTTCTTGCTGTGGGGAGTGTGATCTCATCTGGATACACCCATGGAGAGAAGGCTGAATAGGGGGTTAGCATCAAGAGAGGAGCCAGAGGGACCGCAGAGGGGCAGAGAATAGGGGGAATCAGGAGGGAACCCAGCAAGTGAGGTGGGGAGCCAGAGGGACCACAGAGGGGCCGGTTGAGGACCCACTCTGGCGCTGTTTGGGCCAGTGCCCATCTGCACAGGGGGATCTCGGGCTCAGCTGGTGCCCAGGCAGGCCGTGCTGTGTCTCAGTGAGTGTCTCTCCCGCAGCCACATCGTCCATGCGGCGCACGGACACCAGCACCCCCACGCGGCCCGGGGCTCCGGGGGACAAGGCGGCGCTGCGGCTGGCAGCGCCCGGCGGCGCCCAGGTCAGTGCTGAGCCCGCTGGGGCTGCGGGAATGGGCACAGCCGGCACTGATCCCACCCTCAGAGATGCTGCGTCCCACACTCTGGGTGTTCCTGGGGAGTGCCACTGGCTGGCAGAGCCGTGGAGACACACCAGAGGCTCCTCCGCTGCCTTCTTTCAGCATTTGGTTTGCTCCTCCAGGCTAAATCCCTTTTCACACCACTGACCCTCTTCTCTTGGGGTTTGTTCATGTGAAGTGGCCTTTATCCAAAATGGGTGCTGACACCAAGGACTTGAAATTATCAGCGGCATGCAGGAACCTAAATTCTCCTTTCAGACTTATCCTTGGCCAATTCCCTGCGCTTGTTCATGCCTGGTATGAGCTGTTAAAGCACTAGCTCTGCACTAGAGGTGCTATGGGCCTACAGTAAGGCACAGTTTTCATTTCCAGGCCATAGCCACTCCTCAGCCCCCCGTGGCTCAGCTGGCAGTGCCCTCTCAGCACTCTGTGATGTGCTTTGATTTTGTTCAGAGCACTGCTGTGTCCTGTCAGCAGGGCAGCCCAGGTGCCTTTGGTTCACTGCCCTCACGTCCTCGCTGGCTCATCCCAGAGTGGGGACAAGGTTTCTGTGCCCTTTCTGTTGCTGAGATTTGCCTGCAACAACCTTATGGCAACCACTTATTTCAGAGAGCAGAGAGAGCAGATGGGACACCCAAGGAAATAGCATAGGAGAAGGTTTACACTTGTAAAAACTGTTGTGGGCTGCTGAAGGCTTCTCCCTAAATCTCTAACAGCTAACTACAGGCTGATACAATGCTGAAGAGGGGATGTCATGGAAGGTTTGAGTTAGGCCAGGAAAAGAAAAGAAAACAAAAACTCCAAGAAAAATGAGTCATAAACCATAATGACAAGGTCTGTCCTTACAGGGCTTTGATATCAGTGCAGTAAATGTCCAAACTATAAAACAGACTGAAAATGGTCACTGCAGGTGTGAAGGATGGATCCCCAGGTGGGATTGCAGCCCATCTGGGGCCTGGCATCTGCCAAATATCATTATCAGCACAACTGAAAGCCCAGCCAGGAGGTGTGGCAAGGGTCTGGGTGCAGTGTCTGCCCCAAAACACAGCTGGGCCCAAACCAGCAGGATGTTATCCTGAGGGGACAGGAGAGTCCCATGTATAGACACTTCATCTATGCAGAAATTATAGAGATCAACACCTGGAAGGAAGCACTGTAAGCCATATGTGCTGCTGCTCTGGAACTACAGTGGCACTTTGGTTAAATGTGCAATTGCCAGTTTTTGTCAGCATCATATTTTTTATGGCTAAAGCTGAAAAGCAGTCATTTTTCTGAATCCAGCATTGCTATGGATGTGAGTAGCAGGACTGGTCCTACTGTGTGGTCCCTTTTCTCTGTTCACAGCCAGTGTACCATTTCCCCACCCAGCTGGGGATGATGCACCAGCTGAAGGAGCAGCTGGAGGAGAGGACTCGCATCCTGCAGGCTGACATCAAAACACAGCAAGAGGAGCTCCATGTCATCAAGGAGCAGCTCCAGCTTGTGCAGGACTCCAACCTGCAGGTACCTGCTGCCCCTGGCGCCCCCAGACTCACCAAACATTTGCTTTTCCTTCGAGCACACAGAGCGGTAACAAAATTGTCTGTGGCAAAAGCATTTGGGAGTGAACTCTTGGCAAATTGGTAACTTGGTTTTGGATGTGGGAGTGGTGTTTCCCAAGAGATGAGTGATGTCAATATCTGGCTGAGTATTGAATCAGTAATTTCTATGATTTAGAAAAAAGCTATCCCAAATTAATCCAAAGTCTCCCATGCACAAAAAAGCTTGGTGGTTCCATGTCTGGCTAGTGCTGCTGTATCTCACTGCCACTCCTGCAAAACACAACAAGCACAATGGAGCTGGAACATTCCTGGCTCTGAATAAATATTTAACACAAGCTAACATTTGATTTTCTGTTACTCATTTTGCCCCTGGATTTGGAGACAGTGCTGCTGCTGCAGTGCTGTTCCTGCCAGGCAGCACAGCCAGCAGCTCCTGTGCCTCTCTCCCCGCAGATGCTGATGCAGCAGCCGATCCCCGTCATCCTCAACGCGGCCGTGCAGCAGCCCAGCCCCCGGCGGCCCCAGGGCACGCCCCGGCACAGCACGGCCAAGAAGGCACAGCAGCCAGCCCTGCCCGGGACAAAGCAGCACTGCAGCCCCCAGCTGCTGTCACCGCAGCCATTCCTCAGGGACCCCTGTGGCACTGCCCCCCAGGTCACCGCCTGCTCCATCCTCCTCATCGTCCCTTCTCCGGCTCCTGAGTGCTTGTCTGCCATGGTCCCATGGTCCCTGCCATGCTGCATCCCCTCTGTGCTGGCTGTACTGAGGAGTTTGTGTCAGGAGTCACTTGTGAACACTTGTGAACAGGTGTCTCCTGACACAAATGTCATTCAACTGTAAAAATAAAAACCAGGTGTCTCCTGACACAAATGGCATTCAACTGTAAAAATAAAAACCAGGTAGCCAAAAAGCATTTAAACCCCAGAGAGTGCTGGAGCTCTCCTGATGCCCGGGCACGATGTGAATGGGAGGTCTGGGCTCCCATCAACATCATGCTCGTTATTCATGGCCAGTGAGAGTTGTGGTTTCATAGCACAGGAGTAGGTGTCATTTTAAAAGATTACTTTTGCTCTGCCTGAGGAGTCTTGGAAGGCAGCTTTGAAAGAACAATTTTGTCACAACTAGACCTAAATCCACTATTAAGATGGGAAAGACTTGAGTTGTTCAAAAACAAAAAAGCCAACACTGCTGCTTTAAAGAACCCACAAGATACTTTCCTTGGAGGGTTCAGATTTGCACTTCCCCTCTTAAGCTGTTCTCTTCCTCCTCGAGCCTTTTGTGCCCTTACCCTTGTACTCTAATTTCTCAAAAGACTGTCTGGGGATGCCAGGGACAATAAATGCTAAGGGGTTGGTGATCTTGAATAGATATACTGTTCCTACTACAGTTCAGGGACAATATCCTATTGTTCCTGCTCCTTTTCCCACCTGCCCACTGTGAGTGGTTATTTTATCCTTCCATTAGGGAGCTTTAAAACTTACATGGGTACCTCTGTCCTCATTCCAGGTACAGCAGCAGAAGCAGCAGCACCCAATGAGAGGAAGCCAAGGCCAGCAAACGTGTGTGCCAGGGCAGGGCAGCATCCCAGTGCCCTTCTACAACAGCCCCATGGTGTTCTCCCAGGCTCACCCCATCGCCGTGGCAGCCCAGGTGCCCACTGACAGCACTGAGAGGCAAACACCAGCTGAGTACAGCCAGGACAGGAGCCTCAGGTACCAGAGCCCTGCTGGACCATCCTGGGGCAGTGACAGGAGCAGCAGCAAGGGGGGCAGGCATGGCTGGGCTCAGGGCTTGGGATGCCACAGCCAGAGTGAGGATGTTCCCTCTGTGGGGTGAGCCCAGTGTGCAGGCAGGCAGGGTGCTGTGCACATCCTGCTGTGTCATCAGGGGCCTTAAATCCTCTTCTCACCACATTTCCATAAATTATTGTAACCCTGTCCTCTGTCAGTTTAAAGTCAGTCCCCAATGCCCTTGCCAAAAGTCCCTCTCCTGCCTTTTTTAGCCCCTTTACTGGAAGGTGCTGTAAGATGTCCCTGGAGCCTTCTCCAGTGTCAACAATCCAAATCTTCTCAGCAAGTACTCGCAGGAGAAGTGTGAGGTGATAAGAAGCATCCTATTTCATTAGTTTGTTTTCTAGGTAGTGGTTTCATGGAGGTAGTGGTTTCTAGCCTGCTTTCATGGAGGATTTTCAAGGAGTTGTTTCTAGAGACTGACAGGACCTTGGACCCTGGACCTCTCCCTTCCCTGACCATCCTCTGTTTTCCTTCCACCACAGGATGCTGCTGGATCAGTCCATCCAAGCCATGATGCCCACAGCCAACAGCAGCTGCCAGCCCGTGCAGAGCAGTGCCAGCAGGCAGCAAGGAAAGTGAGTCTCTGCTGTCCCCTGTTTTCCTGCAGTGTCTTAGCAGGACACTTTACGGCACTGAAAAAGACATGAAAAAACTTGTACCTGGTCATTCAAACACAAACAGCCTCAGTCTGAAGTGAAACAAAAGTTTAGCCAGTTAGGGGAAAAAATGAGAATATTTTTTAATTACAGAGACCTTTATGATAAATGAAGTGCCTTTAAAAATTAACTATTTTCTGGCCTTTGCAAAGCATAAAATGCTTGACCAAGACATGGAGAAAATGTACAACCTTAAAAACCTTAATTTTCAGTCTGTGCTTTGTGGGCAGAGGGGAATCAGGGGCCAGGGGCTGCAAGGTTTGGCCAGCCCTGCTCCAGGCAGGTTCTGCAGCAGCTGGGCCCCCCAGTGCCCGTTCTGAGGGAGGGTCTGGGTGTGTGTTCTCATGCCTGGTTTCCCCCTGTGGCAGGTTTGTTGCAGAGCAGCAGGGCCTGGCTCCCCCAGCAGCACAGGTGCCGCCAGCCACCTGCAGCCCCGCCCGGCCTGCAGCCCCGCCGCCCGTCTTCTCCCCGTCCCTCCTTGTCCCACACTCCAGCTTCACCTCCCACCAGCCCAGCACACCCCTGCACCTGCACCAGTGGCCACAGCAGCAGGTTCAGCAGCACCGCCTCTACCTTCAGGTACTGGAGCAGGAGCAGCTTTCTGAGGGATGGGTTGGGATGGGTTGGGGTTTTTGGGAGGAATGGGGCTTATCTGGCTCATCCAACCTGGTCAGGGCCTTTGCACATCCTCTATTCCCATTGTATCTCCACAGAGCCAGGTGCTCAGCCTTTCCAGGCTGACTCTGCACCTGCTCAAGGCCATATTTTCCAACAAACTCTGTTATCACATAGTGGACAGAAGAAATACCCAGGTTTTCAAACACAGCTTTTCATGCAGAGGAACTCTGGTGAGAAGCTTGCTGTAGTCATGAAAAATTATAGGAGAGAAGGTCTTTGGGAAACATACCTCCTGCTGTTGCATCTCATCAGAGCAAGGTTTTTATCAGCTGCCATCACAGCTTTCTTTTAAAAAAAAGAGTATTTCACAACACACATCTCTGGACTAGGTGATTTTGGTTTTTCAGCACACAGTTTACATCAGTACATGCTGAACTAGTGACACCACCAAGGAGAGGGATTGTTGAAACTAATAATTCATCAGTAACACACTCTCCAAGCCTTGCCTGGATGGCAGAGGTTAAGTTACAGTCCTCCAGGCAAAGACAGAAAAGAAAGCAAGAGGAGGAGGTTCAGCTGAAAGCAGCCACACAGCAGGACTGGGTTTAAAGTGAGAAATGAATCGCTGTTGTCTGGAAATGTGGGCAGGAGCTGTCCCTGCTTTGGGTGAGTCCTCATGGGCTGCATTGCTGTCCTGAGGACCAGCAGTGCGCACAGCAGAATGATGATGCTGGAACAGATAAACAGCTCCAGGGCCACAGTAAACCAGAGTTTGATGACACAGTGCCTTTAACAGGGGTGAAACAGCAAGTCCAGGTCTTTGAGGTACCAGCCATGGGTGGGTACATGGTTACTCTAGGACCTCTTCCTTGGTTGTCTGAAGATATTTCCAGTGAAAGATTAAAGTTGCACATCCTGCAGATTGTACCTCCAAGTAGCTTCTGGAGGTCTCCATTCCTGCTGGGCTCCCCAGGCGCCTGTTAGGACAGTTGGGTCTGAGCTCTCCAGGCATTGTTGGTTTTGCTGACAGCAGCAGCATCCTGAGGAGCACAGCTCACACCCTCAAGTTCAGGACTTGTTGCACACTCTGGGGTGAGTCTCAGCATCAGCCCTGCAGCAGAGAGGGACATCTGGGTGCTGGGGCAGGTCTGACTGCTCAGGTTTGTGTCTCCCAACAGATGCAGGGTCCCGAGCTGGTGCCTGGGGCTCCGACGCAGCGCATTTTCCAGCCGCCCCACGCCCCGCAGCAGAACCCCCTGAGCTACTTCCTGCACCCACAGCAGCAGAGCCACCACACACAGGGCCAGCCCTGCAACCTGCCTGACCTGCCCGAGATGCAGCTGCCCTGAGGTCACTTGTGGGGCAAGGAGCACACGGCGCAGCCGCCGCACCCGGCACGCACGGGAGAGCACGGAGCTGTCAGAGCACGGCACCGGAGAGGTCGGGCTCATGGGGAGGTGTGCCTGCAGGGATGGATGGTCTCTGACAGGGGTGCATGGCTGCAGGGGCCTGCTTTGGGGGGATTGCCATGCAGCCAGATGCATGGAATGTATTCGGTGATGCTGTTCCAGCAGCAGGGTGTGCCCTGGCCCAGCACCATGGTGCCACTGGGAGTGGTGCCTATTGCTGCAGGGAGGGCAGGTATCGGCATCAGGCCATCATGGAGCTCGGTTTGCAATGGAAAAAAACCTTTTTCCATTCAGGACTTCAATGCTGAAAGTCACTGTGAATTTAAGCCCAGCATTTGGAGCACATAGACTGTACCAGTCCACAGGACACCATTGGATTTCTGTGTACATAACTCGTTTTGCTGTAGTAGGTCCATTGTGAAGTCTTTTTCCTTTTTCTATACCTCAGTCCCACGGGTTTTTTTCCAGGAGTTTGGATAATGCTGCTAATTTACGTAACACCACTTTTGCCTGAATTTCTTACTGTTGTTATACCAGCTCACATCGCAGCTAGTTCAATATTTGTCGTGTTTTATTTTTGGTTAACAAGTGAAGATAAAATTGTATGGTTTTTACTCCCTGTAGCCAAATATTTTTCAGGTTACAGACAAAGAATCTTTACTCCTTTTTTTTTGTTGTTGTTTCAAGTGATGTAGTTGTAATTGTTTCTATTCGTAAAAACAAACAAACAAACATGCATAGAACAGCATATGACAGCAAACTTTGTGGTTTTGCTAGGTCATATTTCAATTTGGCAAACCCAAAATGTATAATCACAACACACGATGTTACAAGCCCATAGGGTCAGCAATAAATTGTATTTTTGTAAATTGTCACTTTTTAACTGTAAGTTTATATTTATGAATTGAAAAGCCAGTTTATTCCTCAGTGGGTGTATAGTTAAGTGTCCCTACTGTTTGTGTCTTTCCAAAGGAAAACTTTAAAAGTACATTTTTGGAGTGTTAGTAGCTGAGTACTAACTTTGGGCATTGTTAGAGCCCAAATGTAGATGGGTTTGGCCATTACTATAAACTTTGCCAGGCAGTGAAGGCAGTGGTTAGTTAGGACCAGGGAGCAGAGGACCATTAGGACCAGAGCAGTAAAGCTCTAGCTGGCAGACAGAGCAAGGTTTAGAGAGGAGTTAGTTCCTGACGTTTAGTTCCTAATGTCTGTTGAAACCAAGTGAAGAATGCTTGGTTTTGCCTTTTTTTTTTTTTTAATATGGTGTTTTGGGGTTTTATTTTGTTTCCTTCTTTTCCTTCTGCACGCCTGTTTCTGGGCCCTTGCAGCACTGCAGCAGTTCCTGGTGTTACTGGTGGGGCAGCTTTTGGCACAAGCAGCTGCCAGTAGCCCTGTGTTTCAGAAAAGGGCACAGCAGGGCTTCCCAGCCCCCCAGGGGCTGTTCCCAGCAGCTCCTCGTGGGCAGGGGATGGGGTTTTGCTGTGCCACATTGCCTGGGCCAGTGGCAGTGGGAGGACAGGCTGCTGGAGCTGGGGTCAGCCAGGAGCTTTCAGGGACTGGTGCAGGGCCCTGGGGTGCTTTGGTGTTTGTCCAGGGCAGAGGTGGATTTGTGAACAAAAGCTGTGCCAACCCCTGGCTATTCATGGGTCCCCTCCCTTGGGCAAAAGCAGCTGCATGGTTGGCTTTGACTGGAACACTGAATGCACAGCTCCCAGACACGATGGATCCTGGGTTCAGAGCAGCATAAAGACATTTTTCCCCACGTGCAGCGTGCTGGGGAATGTGGCTGCCCACAGGATGGAGGCAATGAGGTGCCCAACAGCCTGTGTCCAATACCAGGGCTCGTGCCTTGTCAGCACAGACCCTGCCTGGGCCCCTGCCCACACAGCACATGCAGCCTCTGGGTGCTTGGACACTGAGCCAGCCCCTCCATTTCAAACCAGGACAAGAAATCGTGGCTACAGCAGAGCCGTGGGCCAGGGCCACCTCACTGCTAGTACTGGGATTTGGAACACCTGCCTTTGGGGGGCAATCTGGGGCTGAAATATTATCACCTGGGGCTTCCCTGCTCTGCAGGTTTGTTCTGCAGGAAGGGCCAGCACAGAGCCTTCAGGGTAGGAAACACTTGTTTTTAAAGCACTCTTAGATTTAGGGTCTCCCTTTCCCCATTGTAAGGCAGCTGGGTTCCTCATGAGGATGCAGTAGGAGGGAGTTGTATTTTTGGGAGTTGTTAGTGGGATTTTTTTTCCACCATAGCCTTGGCACATAACATTAGAGGGGAGGCAAACCTCTATCTGTGTTAGGGCTCCAGCACTGCACAGTTGGTGGCTGGCTGGACGGAAAGGCTGTGGTTTCCCTGGCTTCCCCATTAAACCTGCATCACCCCAGCATCCCCATGGCTGCTCTGCAGTGTCCCAGCACCACACGGCCCAGCCATGGCAGGTGGCACTCACAGACATCTCAGAGGTGGTGGTGGATGGGGTCAGGGCCTTGAGGGGTGTATTTTTTAACAGGGCTTGGTAGGGAGGTAGCTGAGGCAGAGCAGTTTACTGGCATTGCTGTGGCATTGACAGTGAGTCCTAAAAATAAATAGGGTTGGGAAGGGGTTCTGGGGGAGTGGGGGTGGTGGGTGTGCCAGATGGGGCCCAGCCCTGCTGATGGCAGCCCTGGGCTGCAGGGACACAGGGCTGGGCCACAGCCCCTGCTCACAGCTCCCAGCCAGGAGCACAGGAGCTTGGTGAGGATGTTTACATGTTAGACCAGCCTTGCTAAAAGCAGAGACCTAAAAATGCACTTTATCACGTGCCCCCTTATTCTCAGAGCCCCCCCAGCCACTGGCCTCGCTGCTGGTGGGTGGGGGCTGCACAGTCCCAGGCTCTCCCTCAGGGCAGGGCCTTGTTTTCTCAACATGTTCCAAAGGACAAAATCCCACCAACCCTTTCTGGGGCTTGCTTGGTCTTTGCTCAGTCTGCCTCCAGCCAAGGGCAAGGCTGAGTCAGGGCCAGGGGGGTTTTGCCTTATATTGTCACTCTCAAAAAAAACAGATGGATAAAATTGTCTTTATTCAGGTTGATTTGTATTTGTTTACCTCGGTGTTAGCTATGACCTGTGCTTTTATGACTCATTTGGAATTGAGGGTTGCTGGTGGGTTTGGTTCATGCCCCCCCAGCCTCCTACAAGAAAACAAAAGTGTGACTTGGTGATGAGCAGAGGGCAGGGACGTGACTGATGGCAGCAGGGTTGGCCTCCAGTGTCGGTGTTGACCTATCAGTCATAAATGTTCTGAGGTTTTCTAGTACACAAGTACCTATATACCATGACTATATATAGATATACATATTTTAATGTACATTTATATGTATGCAGATGTATATCTATATGTAAATATATATAGGCCACACAATTCCAGACCTCTGAAAACACAGGCAGCTTTAAATAATAAAGTCTTGCACTTTTAGCATATTTGTACATATAAGCTAAAGCCTGGTGGGTATAATCAGGCTGATTTGACAAACACAATGAGGAGTTACTGTATATATTGTATATAGTCCATGCAAGGAAAAAAAAAAGAAAATAAGAAAAACTCTAGAATTGAGTATAAATCTTGGTCTATTTTATATGATGTTGAATATAAATACATTTATAAATGTTATTATTCTTAAAAGTATTTTGTAATGGGAAAAAGTAAGTGTCTTATGAAGATGAACAGTAAAGATTTTATTCTTGTTTTGAATCTATGTCCCTGCACAGCTCCATTGAATTGGAGCCCATGCATTTTGACAAGCTTTAAACAGATTGTACATAGTATTTAAAAAAAAAATTAAGAAGAAATAAAATAATACTTGTAGGACCTCTTACACACTATGTATGTTGTTATTCCCTGGGTGGTGTGGGTCTGTTAGGGATCTGATCCCTGCTCTCCAGGAGAGACAAGAGCAGCAGCCATTGTGTCCATGTGCAAGAACAAGGCTTCAGGATCTGCACACTGTGTTTGAATTTGGATGGACAAAGCAAGTGCCAGTACTCAGCAGCCCAGCACTGAAGCCAACTCAGGCTTCAAAATCTGGGTCTCTATTTTTCCTCCTCCTCTGGGAGGCTGCTGTCCCAGCAGGGGCTTTGGCTTGCTCCTTGTTTTGCAAAGCACTGACTAAATGTGGCTTTAACATGACCCACACTCTTGAAGGAACTTCCACAGCAGGCCATCACAGGAAATAATAATGCCTCAAACACAGAGGTTTTTTACTGAAGGGAAACAATATTTTATTTAACATCCCATTTGTCTTACAGTACCTCTGCATACAACACATTGTATAAAAGCCAATCTGTCAACACAAACATGTGCTGCTGTCTTGGAAAAGTGACAAAGCTATAGCAAAAATGACAAAATAGCCTATTTTTCTGGAAACAAATCAGAGTTATTTCCTTCTGTTTTAGTCCAGAGAACAACAGCAATCACAATCAAGAACCTTGTATGGTACAACTGGATGAGAAAATTCTGATAAAATCAACACACAGCAATTTCTTAGTCACTACGATAGCAAACTCTTCTAAAATTACATTATTATTTAGCCATTAGAGTGATGAACAAGTGGCTTGTTTTAGGAATGGATGGAAACAGAAAATGATTTTTCTGTATCACATGGCAGCAGCCACTTCCATGTCCTGGAAAATGCTACCGGTTTAGTTACCATCAGTTGTCCCCCATGGTGGAAAGAGCTGGTATTTTTATTATTTGAGCTATTCCCTCCCCTGAGCTGGGCACACAGAGGCCAAGCAGGCAGTTCCTTGTGGGGGTCAGGGCTGTCACTGGTCACCCAGAGCACAGGGAGCAGCCAGGCTCCAGAGCAGCACATTCCACATGGCAACACCAGGAACATCCCAGCTCTGCTGGCTGTGCCCCCAGGCTACTGGTTAGCTCTGACAAAAGGCATCTCAGCACACAGCAACAACTGCCCAGCCACATGCAGGGACTGTGCAGTGTCCCCCACAGCAGGGGTGACCATGACACAGCTGCCAAGTCCCACTGCAGCAGGCACTGCAATTGTCAAGCTGGACAAACAGCATCAGTGGCTGTAGCAATCTACAGCTGTTTTGTACTGAATGATGCACCTTCATTTATTTCCTATGACTGAACCTGAAAATAAAGGTGTAAAACTTCATGGAAACTTACAGAAAAAAAGTAACACAAGTGAGTGAAATGACAGAACAGAATTCACTTAACCAAGCTGCTTCCTGTTCCTATGCACACCCAGCACTCTCAGGGGATGTGATGGGAGTCTGGGGCCATCTCTGTATCACCAACTTCACCTGGCCAAGAAGCAGCATAGCCCAGGGATCTCTGTCCCTGAGGGTGCAGGGCTGTGAAGTCAAGGCATCACTCTCCAGGACTGAAGGAAGGGAATGAGCTGCTGTTGCTCTAGCTCCACCAGTCCCAGCTAAACCTGCATCTATTTGTTTGTCAGCCTGTCTGGAGTAGGGATGGAAGGAGCTGGAATAGGAAAGGGAAGGAAAGAGGCTAGCCACTAACTCCAGAGTTCCTCTGTCACAAGCAGAGCTCAGCTTATGGTGCACTGAGGAAGCAACTCGGCAAATAAAACCTCTTGGTTATACTCCTTGGAAATCACTGGCACTTGCTGCAGCCACCTCTCCCCAAACAACCAGCCATGATCCAGAGGTTCCAAAAAGAGGAAAAGGAAGAAGCTGCCAGTTGAGTGCTGCTAGCCTATTGGAAGTGACCTCACTCCACCCTCCATCCTGCTGACACTGGATGCCTGGTCACTGTGACTACTCTACCTGTGTCAGCCTGCAGCTGTATTACAGGAACAATTTAAAGACACCAATCCTTTTGGAAAAAATATAAATAAATTTAACCAAAAAAATCCATGCAGTTAATTAAAGTTAGTGTTCCCCCCTACATCATCACCTTAAATCTATTTTGATATATATGCTCTTCATACATGGATATGACACCTGACAAGAGCTACTGCCCAGCTGGCAAAGGCTCTGCAGTCTCTTGAGTGGGCACTAATAGAAAAGGGCATTGTACAGACTGAGCACCTTTTTACAGCCAGGTAACAACAGAAGGTTGCTGTACTTTGCAAGTTCCTTCACCTTCTTCTGCACTTAGATCTTCACATTTTGGCTCTCAATCAAAAAATTCCTTGAGTTTTAAGACTTTTATATCTCTGTTACTTTCATTAGCAAATAGTTTACAGATTTGACTACTTG